GATTGAGAAAGACAAGTGTTTCTCATTTTTTGCTCGAAAACAAAAAAACAGAAATTTTTTAATTCTCTTTTTTGTTCCCTAGCACAAAAATTAAATCGATTCATCCCGGGAACAAAAAAATAAACCGGTTTTATCAAATGAGTTTTCTATCCATTTCTATTTCCGGGAATAGAAATTAAAAAAACAAAATTAATTCCTGAAAGGTTATCATGCACACCCGAAATGTCTCTGCCACAAAAACATTCTTTTTTTTAAAAAATGCAACCCATTAAGTAAAAAAAGGAAGTAATTACACACTGCATTTCCTGAGATGCACTGTGTGGGACAAAAAATTATTTATACAGTAAAAGCAAAAATAATTTCCTTATAGTTAAATTACCAACAACTATCCTATAAAACCATCAATAAGTTATTGGTCCCAACCACATCAGTATTAGAGCTGAAATGTACAACTTACTGCTAGCATCCAACATCAACTGAAACTATAATCAATAGTAGAATGATTATTGCCATCTTCAGTAGAGCTCTATGGGCTAATGTATAATTTTAAACATAACTTGATAGTACGGATGATTTGCATTCACGTAAAAATCTTTCAGAAAACTTGAATATAAAACAAAATGTAGAGTTTGTGTAATCAAGTTATTTTTAGTAAATATCTTACCTTTTTGCACACTTTTTTTGAATTAACTAAGTTACATATATCCAACAAAAAAAAATATTTGACTATAACTATTGTAAAATTATCTGTCTACCAGATTTAAATTCATTAAAATTTAATCTTTTAATTTTTTAGTAATTACAATTAAATAATTAATGAAACATTTTACTATTATTTGAGCCAATATTCCTAATTTTCACATGATGTATTATTTGATATATCATGACGTTGACTAGTTTGGTCTTTCAAGTTACATGTCGGTTTTTGGTGGAATGTGGCATCAAACTTCAATAATACCATTATCATGTGTACTCCCTCTTCGTCTTTTTTAAGGCCATATTCTCACCATTAATCACTTCACGTTCAAATGTTGCTTAAAAGGTTTAGTTATAAGAAAACAAGTGCCAATAAACATGTGATAATGAAATATGCTTATTCTTGGATAAAATCTTAGGATTTCCATTGACAACGATAGGACCTCTAGCAAGGTAATTGTATAACGAACTCTACATGGATTATGTAACGAACTTTATGCAATTCATTCATTTTGAAAGGTAATTGTTTAACTTTGGTACCCGCTTCGGGTTAATAATTTCATGCCATATAGTGTAGAATAAAAGACACCTAATACTAAAGGGCGAAGAGTGTTAAGAACCTTGAGGTCACCACCCAAAAGCTAGCTCAAGGAGTGAGAGTGTCTAAGGCCTTATAAAGGCCATATTAGTTGCTCATCCAATCAATGTGGGACTATATATCTCAACAAAGAGACTCAATCCCAAAATCGAATTATTAAGGTCATTAAAATTTTGGATACCGGTTGATATTTTAAAAAAATAGTTAATGGTATGTTCTGCTCATAGGTAGAGCCGGCAAAACGGACTTACTCGAATGACCGACCCACCTCGCTTGCCAAATTGGGCGGGACATGCTGACTCATTTTTTGGCGGGTAGGATGGAGCGGGTTAGTATAAAACAAGTTTGGGTTGGCTGGACGGGCCAAAATTTTCAACCCACTTTCAAAAAAGGAGACAGGGGTAGGGGGTGTAAATGTGCTAGAGCGGCCTACAGGAGCCTGTGGCCTAGCCTATATTAGGCTAGACTTGACCTATTACAAATAGTAAAATAGAACAGGCCTAGGCTTTTAAAAAAATCTATTTAGAAAACAGGCAATAGGCTTTTTTGTACATGCCAGTCCTATAAGCCTACATGTCGGCTTATATCATATTATTTATTTTAAATAAAATTAAATAATAATTTTGAATGAAAAAGTAATATTATTTTAGTTATTTTTTAATTGTTGAATGTTTAATAGGCTTAAACATGCCAACAGACTTAAGCCAATGCTTTTATTTTTTTAAATATAAGTCAGACCATACTTATAATTTGGAGCCTACATGGGCTAACAGGCTAGGCCAAACCTAGTGTCTTTTACACAGGCCTTGCCTATTTAAGACAAAGTCTAGCCTAACCTAGCCTATTTACATCTCTAGCAAGGAAGGCTGACTCGTTTTTTAGCAGGACAGAGCGGGCCGCCCACTTTGTCATCTCTACTCATAGGCCTCCTTTTGTATGCCAAATGTAGAGAATTAAATGGTAGTTTGTCCTTAAAAATTGCAAAAAAATGCTAAACAAGTGCTTATTACTAGGTTGCAATTAATCATTTATTTCAGTGAAAGCGAGTAATCAATGATTACTCGTGCATGCCAACTTGGTAATCATCAGCATAACCGGTGTAACTTGCTATTCTAGTATAATCAAGATTTTTAAGGAACAAAAACAGTTGTTACTCTTAAATGGCATCTATACTTCCAAGAGAAATTAAACATGAGTCAAGTATGAGAATTGAGAAGGCAAAATCGCTATTCAAAAAGGAAAGCGAGGTAAGAAATTTGAGGAAAAGGGTTCTCAGAGTACATAAAGTATGGCCTGTGATAATGGGCCTACAGCTTTCAGTTTGTATTTATTAACGCATTCCCACAACTACAGCCTACAGACATTGGGATGCATCAATTTACCCGAGTGTTTGGAATACACAATGGTGGGTCTTAGTTTTGGGGCTCACACTCTGGTCCAAACATATATATATCTCTTACCATTTAGTTTGTTTTGGAACAAAATGGAGTAAAATAAATAAATAAATAAATAAAAACTACAACCTACAAATTTTATAAAATATTTTTTTTCTTTACTTCTGTCCATTTCAAAAAAATAATAATTACAATTTTAATAATTTTTGGAGTAAGTTTTTGCTTCGTTTCCAATGTATTTTTTTCCCCAAACTTCCATTTATTTTAGCTTCATGAAATAATGTAATATAGCTTCCACACCTAATTCTTCTTCCTCCATTTTAAAAAATAATCTCAGGAGGTTCAAACGGGCAACTCTTTTATGTCTGTAAGAAAAACAATCATCTCCCATAAACGCTGTAACTCACAACAGTTATTATTCTGCTCTGAAATCTTAAGGGACAAATTATATCGTTACAATATGTACGTTAATTTGTAAAGATTCAAGTTAAAATAAAAGATTATGGAACAAATATTTGTCATTTTAAATAAGACACTTCTTGTCATTTTAAGTGAGATGACTATGTTTTAATTTTATGGAGGAGAGATAATATAAAAAATTATCAAATATACATTAAAACATCATCTTTTCATTTAAAATGACACAAAATTGTGTCTGGCAAATATTTTTCCCAAAAATTATTTATTATAAAATATCATTCTTATAAATTTGTGAATTATTATTTTATTAATACTTTATATTAAATTTAAATAATTATTATTCTTATAAAACTTTGCCTCTGCCTATACACACGCCCACCCAATTTGCGGTATATAATTGCTACACCTAATTTGCCGGTCATATTTTAAAAAAATGTAAGACCAACTTGAAGCTTGTTTCCAAACTAGAGAAGGCGATGGGTTCATTGTCAAGAATCTAGATGTTGTATAATTGTCACATGAACATGTTCAATTATTGTCCCTACAAAACCACAAAACCATGTGCTTTATATGGAGAAACAATTAATTCGGTCGAGCAAATGATGTACTACTATGTCAGCAATCTAGAGCTTAAGGTTATTCATAGATTAACTTTTGAACGACAGCATCAACAACATGGTTGCTTAGATTCACAACTCTATGCTGCTGGTTCTAACCCTTCTTTCGTGGGGTTGAAGGAATTGTAGTGTAGTAGACCATCCCCTATCTCGTTTACTTGCACGAATGTCTAAGAAACAACAAGCTAGCAAGGCATTGACAACTGTTGTTACAAGATAGGAGTAAAAAATAATGCAAAAGGGGTCCATGGTTTTATAGGTTTATGGTATAATACATTCTCAGTTTTGTTCGTTTATTTTATTCATATCTAACGATTTTAATTTATTGAATGTGCGAGTCATTATGTGCAAGAAATCAATAACTAAAATTTCATATAAAACTTCTTATAAAAATTTAGAGTTATCACATATTGTAAAAGCCTAATGGGATGTAATTGCTATACAAATTGCAGATTGGCTCAGGCACAAAATTTGTGTGATTTGCTGCAAAATAAATAAAGCAGCTTGTATGGTTGAGATGACAGATTTCCCAAGTCCTAGTCTTTCAAAGTGTATATGACTGCTTGTATGGCAAACGTGAAAACCCCAAACCAAATGAAACAAGTTGTGAAAATGAAATTGGGAATTCTTTTCAAAGGATAGGTTCCATGATATTAAATTGTAGAGTAAACCTCTATTTTCGTTTTCCCAAAATACAAGCGTCATTCCTTTGTACTAAAAAGATTTTTATTATCCATTTATTTCTTCAATAATGCAAAATTTCTTAACTTTGATCCTTTCAAATCTCAAATTTTAATTTAGTCCCTCAAATACAAACTGCCATCAATTTAGTCTTTCTTTCATGCAAAATGTCCCAAAATTTAGGGCCCCATTAGATTCATTTCTCTAAATCTTAAAAAAAAAAAAACAAATAAATTTGATAACACTTTATATAAATAAGAGACTAAATTAGCAACAAATTTTTTTTAAGAACTAAAGTCATACAAGAGTGAAAATCAGAAACAAACCACAAAATATGCACGAGTCTTCTAATGTTCCTGGTGATGTTTCGCATTTTATGATTTTATCCCTTCATGTTCATTAAATCACATTCATGGTCATAACATTTCCGATTTGAATGCACAAATAATTTAGAGAAGCAAAACAATAATCCACGGAACATGAGAAATACAACTCCCAGAAAATATATATCAACACCATAAATAAATGAAAATAAAATCTCTCACAGTTCCACATACCAGTCTTGTGGAGTGGCCCAAATTGATGTTTGTGCCATTCTTGCCGATGGGTTAAAAAGCCAACATTATAACATTTCATGCAACATCGGTATAATACTTCCATGGGCTCAGCTAACAAACTGATTGAGCTCCATGTTATAATACAAGAGTTCCAAACCAACTAAAAGCACAATATAGCCAAAGCTAAGGTAATGTTTGAGTCCAATTAGTTACACTCTTTGCATCAGTTGTGTGTGTGTATATATATATATATCACACTATAAAATATTAGTTAACAGGAGTGTATATGCTAGCATTTAGCATGAAATGGCGATTAGCGATTTGGGCTACAAAAATGAACAACCCCACAAGGCCTTGATGCTTCAGTGATACTTCATGAGTGACCTGCTTTGTTGATACAATGATCTGCATTCTGGTTTCACAGGATCCGTCCATAGTCATCATTTGTCACCACCATTTGCCTCATTTAACTTATATCTTCAGCCATATTTTCATGGTCTGCATTACGTGACACTAGCAACTTTTCTCTTTTTTGATAGCCCAATTTTCTTATCATATCTCTTTCTCTTCTTAATTTGCTTTTGGAATGACTGTCCAACTAAGGAGGGTTGTTGTTTCAATGCAAAGCTTTTAGCTACATGCCCCAAGTGAAGTTTCTTGATCATAAATATTCTTTTTAGCTCACCACGATGGGCTGTGTATGCACGGACCCAAGAGCAAAATGCTTTCCTGGCAAGTTCATCCATCTTGGGCTGAAAAGGACAAGGCAATGATTGGTTTATGAATGCAAAGAAGCAACAAAGAACCCGTATAGAATCAATCATATTTGGAAAACATTATGGTTAGTGAAATCATAAGGAATAAACCAGCCAATGATTATTCCATTTGATAAGACATAGACAATCACCACAATTGTAGAATTCAACAAGATATAGCAATGAGGACCACCTTGGACATGATGAAGGATTCAAGTGCCTTCTGGAGACAGAGGACCCAGGGATGTGTGTCTACAAAAACAGACTTCTTCATATCGTTCTTTTGTCCATACAGTGGGAAATTATTCAACACTTTGAGGAGAGGATACTCTGTTAGTGAGACACCATGTTTCTCCAAGTCCTGCAAATAGTCTATTTCAACTGGTTGCAGAAATAACAATGACTCTCCTCTTTCACCCAGCCGGGCAGTTCTACCAACTCTGTATCATGAATTCATGATGGATCAGATATAACATAGCACTTCAAATTTTATTGGAAGATTATGATTTTTCATAAAGGAAGAACTGGGTAGATGCTTCTGAATCTATTAGATGAGATACCTATTGAAACAAGCTTCACTTACTTGTGGTTGTTAAAATCACACTTAGAAGTGTAAAACTCAATACCTTTAGGCTTCTTAAAAAATAAAAAGATGCATTCAATTTTGAGATTAATGTTTCTAATGTTGTAGGAAATAATTTTATCTCCTAAACACACATAAAAGTATGTGGGGTCCATATTTTCCTTTTCTTTCTCTTCTTTTCACATGGTCCTACATGGACCCCACATACTTTTATGTGTGTGTAGGAGATAAAATTATCTCCTACAACATGAGAAACACTGATCCCTTCAATTTTATCATACAACTAGTGTGGGAGCATGATTTTATGTTTTCAATTTTTACAATGGGCCCTTTCTTTGCTATTTCTCATAGTAAATAGAATTACATCAAGGAGAACAATGACGAAAAAGTTCTAAATTTATTTTTTGGCATTAAATCTTGATATAATTTAACTTTGCATTTGCATCACATTTTATCATGCTGACCTCCTAGTCATTATAGACAAGATTAAATTGTCAAACTCTTAAACTTCTATCCAGTTATTGACTTTGATGCTTAATTTTGAGTTTAAATTATGTATAAATTTTTAGACATGTATCTATGTATCTCTTAAAGGAAGTGTCAACTCTTTTTTTACAACATTTGTTCATACTTATCTAACACAATAGACGAACCCAATTTTCTTTGAAAAACTTACAGGTCATACAGCCCATAAAAACTGGTCCAAGCATGTTTATTTACATTATAATAGGAACACAAGAGAAAGAGTTATATTAATGAAACAAGAAAATAAGTAGATACCTATGCACATATTCGGTAGCTTCTCCTGGAGAATCATATTGTATGATGCATCTAACCTTTGGAAAATCCAAGCCCCTAGCAGAGACATCAGTGGACAAAAGCAAAGCAGATTTCTCAGTTTTAAAGGCCTGAAAACTGGTTCTCCGGTCCTCCTGTTCCATATTACCATGCAACCGAAAAGTTTTGCATCCAAGAAATATCTGTCTCATCCCTTTTTCTGTTTGTGGATAGGATGAGAAGTGGAATTCACTTAAAACTGAATAGTGAAAGTCGACCGCGTCACATGTTGAAAAGAATACAACAACCTGTGGAATCAATAGATGAATGATGTGACTCACAAAGCATAATATTTTGAATAGTTATAGCTTTGATAAGCAAAGGGAAAGATCCTAGCAAATTCATTCATGCTGAAAATAAGTTCCAGTCCTATAACCAAAATCATATTATTATTTTTTTGTCAGTAAGTAAAATTTTTGAAGGCATATCACCATATACATGAGATATTTTTGTTTTCATCTACATATTTCTGACAAAATTATACCAGCAATATCACATGATTCATAAGTCATGTCATTATACAACTTTTGACAGTCAATAATTTACCCATTGCGTAGAGTGCAAAACCTACTAATTCCAAACCACCTAACAAATAGACACAAGAACATAGGCAAGAAAAGGGGCTCTAGATTGAAATGATGCCTTACCTTTTGTGAAGTTTCCCTTTCAAAAAGATGCTTTAGAATCGAAAGAAGTACAGGGAGCCTTGAACCACAAGGCACTGCAACATAGTAATCCAAATAGGAATTCAGGATCTTATAACTATAACTTTAAAGTAGATAGCTCGCTGAATTTTTTTTCTAATTATCACATACCTTTCATGTATTTCTGAATCAACTGTATGGGGACTTTATAATCTCCAACTGTTGGCATTTTGCTGGAATACTTGTCTTTATTATCATCATCAGATTCTGAAGGATCAAGGCTTTCAATTGTTGAAATTGGTTCTATTTTTTTACCATCAAGACCAATCATCACTGGATTGTCTAGACTAATCTTAGCAAGGTGGTTCACTTTTTCGTTTAAGGTGGCAGATAAAAGCAAATTCTGTCTTTGAATTTTAGATTCTCTAGGAACTGCATTCTCTTGGTCATCATGCCTCGTTTTCCTTGAACCTAAAAGATCTAGTATTTCCTGTATATCTTTTCCAAATCCTAATTCCAGAATACTGCAAAAAAACATAAGTCAAGTTAATTCACCCATGAGATAATATATAAGAAAGAAAATTATAAATGAGAAATCAGTATCGCATTTACTATTGCAACATAAGGTAATTTCTATCGCAGTAAAAGAAGTAAACCATACTGGTCAGCTTCATCAAAAATTATCCAGCGCAAATTTGTGTATAAGAATGATGATGTATTCTTCAAGTGATCTAAAAGGCGCCCAGGAGTTGCTATAAGAACTGATATGCCTAAAATAGGAAACACAAAGTTTATAAATCTGATCAAGTGCAAATAAAGTTCCACTTTGAAGTTCAGACAAGAGAAAGCACAACTCAATAAATGTTTGTCATCAAGACATAACTTTTTTGTGATAGATAATTTTCTTTTGAACATCCAAAAAATATACTAAAGCACTTATCTCTTTTCTTTCATAATTTCATTCCTACCTTCTTCATGATTGGATTGTTGAACAACTAAGAAAGAACAAATTTTAAACATGAAGTTACAAGGGGAGTTTTGATGATGACTACACATGATTTCTACCTTTGCGCAGCCTGGCTTTCTCTTTTGATCTATTTTCACCACCCATGATGTATCCAGGAACAATCCAATGAAACCGATGCAATAACTTCTGAAGAATTTCATAAACCTGCAAACATAGCTCGCGCGTCGGTACAAGAACCAACGCTATTGCCAATGAATCAATTAAACCTGTGATTAATATGAGATAAATTTGCCCTAACAAGAAAGAAAATCATATTTCTTGACACTACAAAACAGCAAAATTGATAGCTTAGATGATACTTTCATGAATAAAGTTTGACATACATTTTGATGATACATTAATCTTCAATATTAGAAATATAAAACCGTTAATGTGTCTTCTCCTAACAATTTAAGATTTTGGGATAGTTGGTAATTAACAAGTGGTCAAGAGTTTGATTCTTATTGTTATCACTCTTCTTAATAAAGTTGAATTTTAAGCAAAGGTACAGCGCGTCTGTATGCTGTCCATGTTTCGAGATCAAAGGGCTCTCACATGACCTAACAGCTTAAGTTGTTGCCTTTTGGTTGATTTGATCACTGAGGCTTTAATCTTCACATATCCTTTCCTCTAAACAAGTTACATGAAGTCAACGAATTTGAAAACACATATGATGCAACTTGACATTCAATGAAGCAAGTGTCAAAAAAATTAGAATGAAATTTCATTTATAATTTAATTTGTTATTAAGAATATCATTTTCATTCTCTTATCAGTTACCACTTCATCCAAAGTAACATAACACGATGGAGTAAGTAGCATATAAAAACTATCTATTTCAAATAACATAAGCAATGAGAAGCTTAACAAATAGTTGAATTTGTGAAAACAGTAATTATGCAATGGAAGAAAATAGTGTTGAAAATAAAAAGAACACGCACCAAATGTTCCATCAGAGCGCTGGATTCGATTATCATAATTGAGTAAGTGATGAATAATTGGAGCCAGGTACGCAACAGTCTTCCCCGTGCCCGTGGCAGCATTAACCAGACTTAAATTTATCATTAAAGAACCCAATAAAATAAAATAAAAAACAACAAAGTTATAGCATGAAGTACAAAAATAAAAAGGGACAATCCTTAAAGAGAGGGTATAAAAAGGATACGCATGACGCCCTGAGAGAATAACAGGAATGGCTTGAGCTTGCACCAACGTTGGAACTTCAAAGCTCATCCTTTCTGTAAACCCAAAAAAAAAAAAATTAAAGTTTTGAACTCTCAATGGACCAACCAAAAAGAAATAAATAAAACAATCCCAAAAGATTAAAACTTCGGAAGATTTTGACTTGCCCATGTGCTGAAATCTAACCAAGCATGCTTTTGGAACCAGTGGCAACCAAATTCAGAAAACAAAAAGAGAAAAAAAAAAAAAATTACCACGAAGTTGGTCACATAAGGTGGGGTTGAGGCCAAGGCTAGAGAAAGAGCAAGAAGCAAAAACATTGTTATCTCCTCTGCTTTCATTGTTCTTCTCATTTTGCATCACTTGGGTACTCTTCTTCGTTCCCATTCTCTTCTCAACTCAGCCTCTGTTCTCTCTCTCTCCCTAAACCAAGGGTTTATCAAATTCCACGGTCTTTTCTATTATTATTTACAGTGGGCCGAATATTTTCCTTCCCCAAAGCCCAACATAGCCCGGCCCATTATAGTTTCAAATAAAATGGTTTTCGTTTCGTTGAACGGTAGGGGCTGTGAACATGGGAACGAGAGAAGAAGAGGTTGTGGAAATTGACAGCTTGGAGAAGAGTTTGTTGGAACAGAATGAGAGAGACGTACAAGTAGAAGAAGAAGAAGAAACAGCGTTGTATGCGGCGTCGTTTCAAGAGATGGAACAGAATTTCGTTAAGTATCACACGATGCAATGGGTGCTTTACTCTCTGTTGCTGATATTAGCATGGGGCATTGGTCTTCTCATGTTGCTTTACCTTCCAATCAGAAGGTTCATACTTAGAAAGGACATTCTCTCCAGAACCCTCTATCTCACTCCAACTGCTATTGTATATAAGGCAATATTTTTTGCACCCTCCAAATTTTTATTTCATTTTATGGTTTATGTTTGATTTTTGTGGCTAGATCAACTTTGTGATATAAATTATTATTATTATTATTATTTGGGTGGTTAGATCCTACTATGGCTTGACATGTTATATGCTTATGTGTTTATGTAGCTCAGGTTACTAGGCCTGTACCATTTCCATGTTTTGGGGTACTGAAGAAAGAGAAGCATGTTTTATTACATTCTGTGGCTGATGTTGTGGTTGAACAAGGTGCAGTATTTAAAGTTTTCTTTTTTCGAGTTGTCGTTTCACACTATTTGTTTTGGTGGGTTGTATTTTGTTGTTTTAAGCCTTTTCCAATGGGAATTGTTTCTATTGTGCTATGGTTTTTATTTCTAGTACCTATTTTGTAGGATACTTGCAATCGCTTTATGGTGTACATTCTCTTAGAATTGAAAATGTTGGAGTTAGAAGACCACCCAGTGACGATGTTAAAATCCTGGGCATTTCTGATCCAAATGCTTTCAGGAAGGTATTCAATAGTGTCTGCATCCCTCACTTTTTCCCAAATTTTTTTTTTTTTTTTTTTTCCATCAGTAAGAAAGTTTCTTCTCCTTATTTTCCTCTTTCACTTTAATGCTTTTTTCTGGGTTTCAATTCTTCTCAGGCTGTTATGATGCGCTTATCAAATATGAGAAATGAGATTTCGTCAAGACATGTTTCTACAGTAGAAGATGTTCCACATTTGATGGTAGGTCATTCACCAGTCCTATAAGCTGGGAAAAATTTATTTTAACTCTTTCAATTTTTTTTGGGGTCTTTTTACTTCTGGGTGACCAACAATTTAAGTTCATAACCCGGGAAACCTCTAGGGTATTGATTATAACTCAAATTGTTCCTGGTTAATTATTGTTTTCTTCTCTCTCTCTCATTGTTTTCTGTCTCTTGTAGATGTCTCCATCAAAGTCATTGAGATATGATACTACTCCATCTGGGGAGCTGCTACTACTGCAGAAACTAGAGGAAGTTGGAAGCTCTGTCAAGGTAAGAAGCAAACACAGCATATAATATTGTTATTTGCCAATAATTAATCACATAAACTTCAGAATGAGGAGAAACATAAAGTTTAAGTGCCCTGAGATGGAAATGAAATAAAAAGGGAAAGGAGAAAAGGAAATAAACTTAGTTGTATATATTTCTGGACTTTGTTATATTTCTTTTGGCTAAGCACCAGTTTGATGTTCACTGCAGAGAATACAGACTTTATTTGAGGAGCAACAATCTCAAACAACAGAATCCATAGATTGAGGTTAGTGAATTTGATGTAAAATAAAATTCCTATAACCTGTTTTTCTTCAGCATTTTAAGGGCCTTTTTTATTAAGCATTTCTGTATGTGTTTCTCATAAATACTTTATGGACTATTCAATGAAATTGTGTTAGCTTATCTATTATTTATGAGTCTTTATACAGTAATAAATTGGTTTGTTAACGCCATTGTTTCATAATGGGTCCACTTTGTATTTTTCTTGTTTTTGGTATTTGGTACTGTCTAGTGTCTAGGATGGATGAGCACATTTGGTGTTATATTCAAGGGCTTGTTTACTTTCGTGTATAAGACAATACTAAAAGACTCGTGTGGCATGGGAAAACTTGATACCTAAATTTAAATCTTAATCAAAAGCATGTTGCAGCTGATAAGTGAAAGAATTCACTCTGGAAGAAGAAAAGGGAGGGGGAAGGATGAACAATAATAAAAGACCTAAGAATATCAATCCTTTGAAGGAGAAGCAAGTAGGGACCGGGCCACGGAATGAGAATTGCACCAAGTGTAGAAAGAACCATGGAAATCAACCTTGTCTTGCGAGTCAAATGTCTATTACACTTGCAGAAAGCCCGGGCATTTTGCTAGAGAATGCCCATAAGGAAGAATATCAATTTTTTGAAGGAGAAGCTAGTAGGGACTGGGCCAAGGAATGAGAATTGCACTAAGTGCGGAAGGGACTATGGGAATCAACCTTGTCTATCGGGTCAAAATGCCTGTCACACTTGAAGAAAACTCTGACATTTTGCTAGAGAATGTCCACTAGAAAAAATATAAATTTTTCAAAGGAGAAGCAAGTAAGGATTAGGCTAAGGAATGAGAATTGCACTAACGGTAGAAAGACCCATGGGAATCAACTTTGTTTGGTGGGTCAAAATGTTCGTTATACCTGCGTAAAACCTCAACACTCTACTAGAAAATCCCCATAAGCAAGAATCAACCCATTTGAGTCTAAGCCGAAAGAGAATCAAGCTAATCAACGTGGGCCCAAACCCCAAACTAGAGATAGAATTTTACTCTCAATGGGGGGACCAAGATCACTTAATCAAGGGGCTACCCACTCATTTATATTTATAATTGTGTTAGGAAGTTGAATCTTTGGATTTCTAAGCTACACTATGGCTGTGTTTCCACCCCTATTGAAGGAACAATTTCCACCTCCCATGTTTGTATGAACTTTCCCATCTTGATAGAAGATAGACCCTCCTTTACAAAGCTAATTCATCCACCGTTGGCCAACCTCAATATAATTTTAGGAATGGACTAGTTGACAACCAAACAGGCCGTCCTAAATTGTGTAGAGAAGTCTATCTCATTCATTGCAAATCCATCACTAGCCTTGATCCCAACACCATTCCTTTTCCCTCAATGTTACCCAGGTCAACAATTGATTCGTAGGGGGAGCTCAAGAGCACATTCTTTTATTCTCCTCAAAGACGGAGGTCCAAATGGATATCGCTTAGTTTTCCTTAGGAGATCGTTCCCTTACTGCCAAAGAGATAGGTGAAGTTAACCGACGTAGTTCCTAAAATCAGGCCAATCTTCATAGCTCTTTATAGAATGTCCCTATAAGAGTTGGAGGAACTCAAGAAGTAATTAGACGAGTTACAAGAAGAGCAATTTAACAGATGGGAGCGTGAGGCTTTGTATAGATTATAGGCAACTAAATAAAGTAATTATTTTGTATAAGTATCATTTCTCTAGGATTGATGACCTTTCGGATCAACTCATGAGCTTCTGTATTTTTGAAGATAGATTTAAGTTACAAATATCACCAGATTAAGATCAAACCTGGGGATGTACCCAGGTTTTCCTTTAGGACTAGGTATGGGCATTATGAATACTTAGTTATGCCACCTTTTGGATTGATCAATGCGCCTGCAGTATTCATGGAACATAATTTTTAGACTTTTCCTTGACGATTTTGTCAGTCTTTCCAGATTATATTCTCATACAGAGCCTGTTTGGATGAGCTTTTATTCTCCAAGAAGCTTTTTTTTTTCAAAACAAGTGCTTTTCACTTTATTCGTGTATTTGGATGAAACTCTTGAAAAAACAGAAGTTAGAAGAAAAAAGAAAAGAAAAAAAGCTAAAATGGTTTTACTTTTAAGCCAAGATTCCTTGCTTCTAAAAAAGTCAAAATACTATGCTCTACTTAAAAATACTTTTTAGATGCTTATCCAGACACTTTTGAAAAAGTCTTTCTAAAAAAAATAATGCATAATTTTATTTTATTTTCACAATACCATCTAAACGGGCCTATATTCTTAGGCTAGGAAGAACATGAGGAATAGTGGAATACCATAGTATAGTCCTGCAAGTTTTAAAAGAAACAATTGTCCGCTAAGCCGGAGAAGTGTGAATTATGGTTGAAAGACGTTAAAGCGGTACTGCATTGGTATGGACCTAAGTCTGTCATGGAAAGATTTTCCAAGTTAGCATAACCCTTAACTAGATTCACAGGGAAAGGAAAGTCTTTTGTTTGGCCAAGGAATATGAGGATAGTTTCCACGATTTGAAGGTTATACTAACAATTTCCCTAATGTCAATTGTCTCAAACCATTGGTATGGACCTAAGTCTGTCATGGAAAGATTTTCCAAGTTAGCATAACCCTTAACTAGGTTCACAGGGAAAGGAAAGTCTTTTGTTTGGCCAAGGAATATGAGGATAGTTTCCAAGATTTGAAGGTTATTCTAACAATTGCCCTAATGTCAATTATCTTAAACCTCCTAGGAAATTTTAAGGTTTACGGTGATGCTTCTAAAAGTGGTTTGGGTTGTGTTTTGATGCACGACAGAAAAGCAATGACCTACGCATCTAAACAACTTCAGCCACACGAGGAAAACCACCCAACTCACGATTTGGAATTAGCACTCATAGTTTTACGCTCTAAAAATCTAGAGGCAATACCTATGTAGTGTAAAAGTTGAAGTTTCTAGTGACTATAAGAGCCTTATATACCTTTTCTTAGCAAAATGAACTGAATATGAGGCAAAAGATGGAGTTCTTGAAGGATTATGATTTTGAGTTGAATCACCATCTTGGTGAGGCAAATGTAGTTGCAGATATCCTTAGTCGTAAATCCTTACATTTATCCCATATGATGGTTCAAGAGTAGAAAATGATGGAAAAATTTAGAGCCTTGAACTTGTGAGCAACCCTTTCCCTGCTAGCTTGGAGTTAAGTAGGCTGAAAGTCACTTGTGACTTGCAAGATCAGACTCGCTCAAGAATATGATGCATTAGATAAAATTAGAAGATTTTACATGGATAGAAAATGGGGCCGTTCTATCCCAAGGGCAAATCTACGTCCCTAAAGATGAGGAATTCAAAGAAAAGATTCCGGAAGAGGCATACAAGAGTAAGATGAAAGTTCATCTATGATCAGCCAAAATGTACCAAGATTTCGTAGAGATTATGGAGGCTAGGAATGAAAAAAGAGATTACTGAGTATGTAACTAAATGTTTAATCCATCGAATGATGAAAATTGAACATTAGAAACTAGCCGAATTACTTCAACCCCTGAGAATTTGAAAATAGAATTGGGAAACTGTGTCAATGGATTTTGTAATGGCATTATCTAGGACTCAATATGGGTTGCAGTACATAGACTAACCCAATCAGCCCATTTCTTGCCAATAAAACCACATATTCTCGAGATAGGCTAGCCTGAGTGTATATACAGTTGTTAGGGTTGTGGATTCTTTAAAGGTAGGTATTACAAAAATGGGGTTTGAGAAAGATAGAGAGAATAGTACCATTACATGGTAATCAGGTAATGTCTTGAGTCCTTATTTTGATGTCGTTCTACTTTGGGAGCGAATTTAATGTGGTCCGGGACTAGAAAAAATTGGGTGGGACTGAGGTGAGAGAAAGAGAGAAAAGGTTGAGGAGAGAGAAGAGAAAAAAAAATTTAATACAAGTGTCAATTTTTGAATGGAAGGACCACGGTGGTCCTGGAGCATATTAAAATTTTCCCAATGTAACAGCCCCATACCCTGTAGCAGGATATTGTCCGCTTTGCCCCGCGCACAAGCACCGTCGAGCTCGCGGTTTTACATTTTGGGTTACCCCCAAAAGGCCTCCTACAAGAAAAGGTATCCACACCCTTATATATATGGCATGTTTCGTTCCCCTCTCCAACCGATGTGGGACATTACATTCTCCCCCACTGGGAATACAGCGTCCCCGCTGTACACACCGGTCCAGGGCCAGGCTCTGATACCAAATGTAACAGCCCCATACCTGGGTTAATCCACAAGATACAGCCATGAATGCCATAAAAAATTAGAGAGACTGAAAGGTGGAAAAGGAATGCTAATATGGAGGCTAACATGGAGAATCCCTTTACAATAAATAAAAAAATAAAAAATAAAATAATTGAGTCCTAAATGAAGAACACTTGGTGCTGTCCGAAATTCATAGTTTAGGATTCTCCAATATGACAAGGTTGTAATTTCTTTCAAGACCTCCGCAGTGAACGTTAGTTTTTTATTATGCTTCCTTTGCCTGCTTTTATTTTATAGTTTAAGTATTCTAATCTGGGTTTGGACACATCATGCAGGGAGTGGATTCACGTTATAATGATCAATATCTCTTCCATAAAAGTTCAGATCCAACAAAAATTAGTGCCACTTTGTCTGCAGCCCCTGGAAGTGCAAGTTGACACTCCGAGCAATATAGTTAGCTATTGTTTGTATCTTGTAGCATTCAAGTGCGCCTTGTATTTTGTGTAATATTCTTTTTCTTTTTCTTTTTAAAAAAAGAGAGTAGAAGTTGTATATCTTGGGTTTTAATGCTGCTTAAACGTATCTATCTTGCCACTAATCGGTTTCAATTTTTTTTTTAATGTGTATGTCTTATTGATTCATTTTAGGTAATCGTTTTATTATTTCTATCTTTTTCTCTTCTTTTTTCCCCTTTTTTACCATAATGCAGGGTTGAGAAGCTCTTTCGTAGTACTAGTTATTTCATTAATATATATATCTTTACTCGCCTAAATGAAGTTCCTTGAACAGTTAACTAATACTAGAGTGAATAAATAGGTAAATTAGTCTTTAAAAATACAACTCGGTCATACTAGTTTTTAAATGATGAAAATTATGTTGTTTCTAAATGTTTCTTTTGTCCTTGTCAGTGAAATGCACATTCAAAGATTTTTACGTAACTTTTATCATTCAGAAAATGACCAAAAATGGATCTTTAAAAATTAAATGCAAGTTTTATCATTCAGAAACTAATGACTTTCAAAGACTATTAACTCTAGTAGGGTTGTTGTTCGAGTTTGTCCAGGAAAATATAGAATCATTTATTGCCAAAGAGCAAACGCAAGGATCTGAGGTTTATGAGGAAATCGCACTCTCACAGGAAGACTTCCCATTCCACCTGCCCTCCAACCCTTTTTCCCTTTTAAATAACTAGAAACACCCTTCACCATGTAAGGTTTCAAGAAATTGTATTCTTTCAACTGTTTGCATGACTAGCCACTCCATACTCCTTCCCTCTCAAATAACAAAAAATAATGGAAAATAAAAGTATGGTTTATACCCGTTATGTATATGGGTTTTATATTTATCATGTAACATAACACAACTTCACTTTCCTACACACACATTAAAGAGGTGAGGTCCACATGTTTTTCTTTCTCTTTTATCATTTCACTTTCTCTCTCCTTTTGTTGTGTGTGTGTTGGAAACAAAACTTAAATTATGTAACATAACATTAATAAAACCCTATGTATATTCATAAGAATGGTAGCCAGTGACCAGGATAGTGCATTTTCCTTATCTCATTTTCACCAACAAGCTTCTTCCATTGCATTTAAAGAACAGATGTTGCCATCTGTTTTTGTAGTCCTTGTAATTTTAATAAGAATGGCAAAAGAGTAGCACAACTCCATCAATAGTAGTCCCTTTTACGATTACATTACATGTATGACTTCAAAGAATCTGTCTTGCAGAAATTACTTAGTCAAATCCTAGCTCCCACTTGGTCATTTAGTAAACCTAATTTCGACCCTAAAAAAGGACAGGTTAAAATACATATACATCTGTTATATGTAAAAAAAAATTCTACAAACTTAGCACAAAGCTACTAGATTACTTTGCAGGCGGCTGGGAAAACTGTTGCAGCTGATGAACAACATGAGACATTCTAGGGCGCATAGAAGGGACATGCTGTGTGCAAGAATAAACGAGGTCAACAACCTTCTGGATGGTACTAGCCTCTGGGATGATACTAGAAGATGAGGAAGATATATGAGGATCCAAGAGTTCAGGATAGCGATGAGCTTGCACAAGAGGTGTAGCCCATTCAAATATACTCTGCCAACCCACAGAATCAACTGCTTGTGCAGGTCTGCGTCCACTCACTATTTCAAGTAGTAGCACACCAAAACTATAAACGTCACTCTTTGTTGTAAGCTCGTTTCTATACACAAACTCTGGAGCAAGATATCCATAAGTTCCACCTGCCATCACAGTCCTCTCGTGCATCACTTCATATGGCACAAACTTGGACAGACCAACACCCATAAGGTGTGCTCCAAACTCCTCATCCAGCAGCACGTTACTGGCACGTATATCTCGATGCACAACTTGTGGCTTAACCTTGTCATGTAGAAACCTGTTGAAACAGAAGAAAAAAGTATCTTATAATTAATATATCCATTAAGTTTAAAATGCTATGGAGTGTGGAGTCTTTTTTTTTTTTTGGGTTAGTCAACCTCATAATAAACTCAAAAAGTCAGAGCAAATATTTTTGTTTGAGGGAATGAACACTACAATCCTCGTTAAGAGAATCTCAACAATCATGTACCTGGTTCCCCCGGAGAGAGGTTTTAATTAATCTCTCCATTCCCTTCCCTTCCCTCCGCTCTTCTTGATACGTAGATGATAGCATTCTCCTAAATTACCCTTATATATTTATTTTTTTACTTGGCTAACTAAGAGCACACGGATAGATAAGCATAAAAGCCCATGCAAGAGTTTACATAATGAAGGCAAGTATCATATCCAAAAATAAAGGCAACAAGTTAAAGTGATAAGATGATGGAACTTGAGCTATCATAGGAACACAAATTATCTGAAATGTGTTGCACAGGACAAATCGGCCTAAAAACAATGAAGTAAAGCAACTTTAATAAACCATCCAGGAAAAAGTCGTTGAAGGTTGACGCTAAGTGACTGACATCTTTCATGCTTTAAATGATCTTAAAAGGCTCAGTGCATGCAAAATGTCTACGTCTATTAAATAACAAAGGAACATAAGAGAAGATTAAGTTAAATTGAATCATTTTTTATATTGAAAAAAGGAGTCCCAATTAACTACTGTCCGGTGCTGGACAAGGAAACTGTGCATCTATACACACCATAAAATGAATCTGAAGCCTCATCAGTAATTACAAGAACCTTAATTATTTCCTCCTCTAAATAGATCGGGAACCTCTCATGTTACTTACTGTAAAGAACCAATTCAACCCAAAAGCTTAAGCTGTTGGGTGAGACCACATTAATAGTTTTATATATCTCAACACGCCCCCTCACACGAGAGCCTACTGGGCTTGAAGGATGGACAATGCACATGCCCACTTACCTGTGCGAAGAAAGAAATTCCACTAGAAAGAAAGTGGAAGGGCGGTGAGGATTGAACCCGGTACACTAAGACTCTGATACCATGTAAAGAACCAATTCAACCCAAAAGCTTAAACTGTTGGGTGAGGCTACATTAATGGTTTTATATATTTCAACAATTACTATCGTGAAAGGGTCATGTTATAAGAGAGAGAGACACAAAAACAAAATTAATGGACTCTAAATAATGGTGGGTCTTACTATATATTATTCTTTTGTTTCTCTCTTGTAACATGGCCCTCTCATGCTAGTAAAAAACATGAGGGGATCCTGATCTGTTGCAAATACATCCTCTGAAATTCTACCTTTCACATGAGATTTTGGGTCAAGTACAGCAGCGGAGGATATTTTAACTAATTCAACTCTACTATTTCATCATAACATTTTAATCAGTTAAATGGAGATGCCTATCTTCCAAATCAAAAGTCAGAATGAAGATGATCATTGCTATGATGTAAAATTAAAATACCAGAACAGGATGGCTGGGTTGATAGCAGCATATTAGTAACAGGGAAATCCAAAGCATGATAGTTCTTATATAGGATTTGATAATCCATCACACCAACGACACTGATACTCTAGAAGTGACATCCAACTAAACAGAACAACTTTGAAAGCATGACTAAGCATTAAATGAAATGTTCCCATATGTAATTTGCAATGTTACAAATAATTCAAAGTGGCAATGCAATACAATTTATAAAGAATGCATGCAAAGACCAAAGGGAGAATGACCTCAATGCACACAGTTAATTACAGCCAAAAAGCACAATTTGTATCACAAGAAGATTTTAGTTAATCTAGAGAAAATATGCATCTTGGTAAGGAGAACGAAAAATTCTAAATTAACATGTGGAAAGTTATCAAAGTATAGCTTGAACATACGCAATTCCTTGAGCAAGCGTCATTGCAATTTTCATCCTCATAGCCCAATCTAAACTGCGACCTCCCCTTGGTATGTGATGTAGCCATTTATCCAAGGGCCCATTAGCTACAAACTCATAAACAATGTAGCGGTCACCATGACCATAGCAACACCCCATCACAGCCACCAAATTTGGATGACGAAGCCTTGCAACCCTGCCAATTTCAGAATAGAACTCCTTTTTCCTCTGAAAGCTTGACCTCTTTAATCTCTTAACAGCAACCCTTGAGCCATCCGTTAGGACCCCACTGTATGTACCACCAGTCTTTGTATCCCCAACAAGACGGTTACCTTCACTGAAATTCTTTGTTATTGACCTTAATTCCTCTTTGGTAAAGACTTTCCATGATGGAAGAGAAGCTGCTGGATCATATAGTTTTCTAGACCGTCTTCTCTTCTTGCCCCGCTTATATACAAGAAGCCAAACTACCACTGATAATGTTGTAGTGAGTATCAATGCACTCACCACTGCAATGATGATAAGGTATTCCCTGTGGCAGTGCTTATGAGAACACTTCATATCTGAGATGAATAAAAAAGAAAAACAGTTTCACTTTGCTGTCAATGATGATTAAAACAAATGTATAATAATTTAATCAAGATAGGAGAAAAAAAGGTAGCATAAGCAACAATACAACATATTTATCAAGAATAAAGAACAAAAGACAAACCTTTAGGAATAGAGTATAAAAGAATTGGAAATTCTAATTACTAAATTTTTTATGAATTAAAAATGAGAATTGGAAGTGATATATACAACAAGAGCATACCCATATCAAGTACACATAGAGAAGCATGAGGATTGTCACATCTCTCACTCATGAGAGATTTTGAATTATTAGTCATTACAGTACATAAATTGTCCGTACTGTACATATGACATCTAGTTCCAGTACAATTGGGCAGAACATCAGCCAAAGGAAATATGGAGTTATTCCACTGAGAATTGTCAGACCACATCCACTGATAATTGGCTGTAGAGTTGAGTCTTCTTCCACCAATCCAGCAACTGTTTATAGATTCACCACATAGACTCTGAGCAAAGTGCAGTTCCGCAAGCGATGTTAATGATGCTAAATGCCCACCATACTTATTACAACAGGTCTCTGAGTCATTCCAAGATTGAGGCCTCCCAACATGGAGAATGCACTTGGTCTTATTAGGGTCAATAACCCAACCAGTTGGACATGGCGCTGTACAAGGGGGGGAAATATAATGTTTAAATGAGTAATCAGAGTCTATCCTCACATAGCAGAGAAATAATTATCAAAATGTGACTTCAACAACCATCAGATGAAGTGCATTAGAATACAGATAGAATACATGTTTATAAAAATTAAGAAGCATAATCATAATGTATTGTGGCATAGTAGTTCTTAGACCATTCATTTGGACATGAGCACAAGCAAGCATCTGGATGCAAACTCACTGAGGAGAAGGAACCTGCTGGTTAGTTATAATTAGTTGTTTCTCCAGTAATTAGCTTGTGTATTAGTTGGTTTGTTGGTTTTACTTGGTTGTTAATAACAGATTAATTATATAGTCTGTTATTCAGTTAGTAACTACATGTGGGACAAGTTGGTATGCAGCTGAGAGTATAGTTACTTGTTTAAACCATCTAGCGATTATATAAACTGCTCTTTGTGTATAATTTCATATGTAGATCAATGTTCATCTTCAATTACAATTCTATGATGGTATCAGAGTTCTGACACCAGAGATGGTGAGCACAATTTCATCCATAGCAAGAAATTCTCACTCATCCTCTCAACCATCAGGATCAAATTCAGAAGCTGGTCATAATGCAAATGCAGATCCAACACAGAATCCTTCAAGTCCATCTGCAGTAATGGTGACTCCATTTCTCACTGGTACAAACTATCATTCATGGGTGAGATCAATTCGTAGGACACTGGTTTCGAAGAACAAATACAAGTTTGTAGATGGAATAATTTCAACACCAGGAGATTACCATCCAATTTATTCAGCACGGTAAAGACATTACAACTATCCATTCTTGGATTGTCCATTCAGCTAGCAACCATTCATTTGGACGAGAGATGAGCATGCATCTGAATGCAAACTCACTCAGGAGAAGGAACCTGCCAGTTAGTTACAATTAGTTGCTTCTGTAGTAATTAGCTTGTGGATTAGTTAGCTTGTTTGTTTTACTTGGTTGTTAATATCAGATTAGTTACATAGTTTGTTATTCAGTAAGTAACTAGATTTAGATGTGAGACAAGATTGTATGCAGCCTGAATGTCTATTTACTTGTTTACGCCAACTAAGAACTATATAAACTACTCTTCTATAATCTCAAATGTAGAACAATTTTCATCTTCAATCACAATTCTATGAATACTAATCATTCATTTCAAAACACCAATAGACTATCATTTAAGGTAATTGCATAGGGACAAAATATATTAAATAGCCTCAATTATATTAAAACGTGACTGAACTTACTTAATTCCCTATTACTAAAATACTCAAAATATTGTCACCTAATTCATACTCTCTCTCACCAGATATAACAGGGTAAGCCAGAGGTAAAACTGCTTCTTTGTAACCGCATGGTCACATTGTCATGTGTTCCAATTCAAAAAACAATCTCTTTGCAATAATACAAGGTACGACTATGTACATGGATTTCCCTCGCTCCTACCGTCGCAAGCTGGGATTCCACAGAAGTGGTTTTTTGCTACTGAGGAGAAATACCCCTTCGTTTCAAAATAATCATCTCTTAAATATTTTACCTTATTTCAAATTTTTTGTTACTTTAAAAAACAAAATCAAGAAGCATTAATTATTTTTTTTGCTAACTTTTATAGGGTTTTAGGATTATTTTACAAAGGTGTAAGTTACATTCTTGATCTTAATCGTTAATCCTATTTATATCTAGTGGTTCTAATTCATTAGGTATGAAAACTATTAGATGCAAGCAAATCAATGTTAAGAATTTGGTGTAAGACTTGTGATTCAAATGTAATTATATTTTCCTAAAATTAAAGGCAACGACTTTCTAAAAAAATTAATGCAAACGCATTTTGTAAAGCGACAGAACTTTTCCAAACGGATGGAGTGTTTTCTATAACACCCATTGTGCAGATTTAAGTACAAGTAAAAAAAAAAAAAATAAAAATAAAAAAAAAAGTTCATACCTTTAGTGTCTCCACTGAGAGAACCACAAGTCTCATTAAGTGTCTACAATCAAAAGAAAGCTTCAATGAAATGGGTTCACAGCGTAACACATTTAAATTTCAGAACTTATCGCCTAAAATAAATAAATAAATAAAAGAATATTAAACTCACCACATTGGAAGCGAGTCCATGAATAGCAAGCAAAGGTAGCAGAACGAGAACAGATTGCAGAACCATGGGCTTAACTTCCATTACAACAACCTCAAAATTTCGCAACTACTAATTTACAAACAAAAATATCGCATGAGCGAGAAAAACAGCATAAGAAGACTTCATTTTCCAACACATGCCTTGTCGCGAGTGAAATAAAAGAGGGTAAGTCCTCTTTTCAATTCTTCTTCTTCGTTTCTGTGATTGGGTGGGTAGGTGCAAATGTAATTAAGAGGTGAAGAGATGTCAGATCTGTTAAAACAACATGGGCCACTTCAAAATTAAGCCCAATATGCTAAAACCAATATGATAGGCCTTATGGCCCAACTAAATCTGGGTTGGTTCTGGCCCGGTTCTACCTCTATATAAGCCCATGTGGTTAAAACTGCTGACTCGGACTCTTTGGATCAACTTATTTTCTTTTCAAAAAGAATTTAATTTTGATGTATAATAAACTTTACATTTTCCGAAAAATATTTTTCATGTTGTGACCTTTTGATTTTGTGTGCAAATTTTTTTTTTTTAATAAGTGTGGAGTCCACCATTAGTTAAGTCACAATATGAAAAAACAATTCTCTTACAACATGAAAAAAATAAAGTCCTTCTTCTAATGATGTATTTGAATTATTATTTAATGAGTTTGATATGCTATATGATTATTAAAATTATCTAATTTATTAAATGAGGACTGGACACTATATTACATAACAGACTATTAATATATCAAAATTAAATTTTAAAAAATAAATAATTGATGTTTTCGACTGAAATACTTATTTTAGGAAGGGGACTAAACTTGAGTTTAACTTTAAAGTGAAAAAGTGAGTATATCTATCCAGAACTTAATTTAAAATATATCATAATCTTAGTCTACTAAAATTTAAGAGTTACACGGATTTATTTATTTTAGAGACAAGCTTTATAAGAATTTATATGCTCCTAAAGAACCATGTAAAATTATAATCACTCCATTCAACTTTGATATTTCCAATATGGTGAATATAATTATACTTGCGTCAGAAAAGCATGAAATACTTTTTTTCTTACTTTAATGATAAAAGAACATTTTGGCCGAAGAGCTTATGGTCATTGAAACAAGATTTTCTTTGTTACTTTCTCCGCTTGCATAATGATTATATATTTTAAGAGAAATACTTTTATTATATTGTAGGAAAGAAGTTATCTCATGTTGTAGAAATAAAATTATAAGCGGGACTCACACGTAAGAGAAAAGAGAAAAAAAAGAGTGGTGAGACTCACCCCTCTTTTGTGTGTATAGAAAAATTGTTTATCTCACCTAAGTTAAACAATACATCAACATAGTATCTCCCACATATTCTCGCAAGGTGCGGAGCTCGGTTCGTCTGCTGACTACCCGACGTATAGACCCGGTCAGTCTCTGGTGGTGCCAGAATCATCTGGAAAGGTGTCACATGAGCAACAGCAGCACCAACGACATGTGTAAAGCAGTCTCTGGAGTAGTGGCCCTCTTTGCAACACTTGAAGCATATCAGCTCACCCGAAGCACAACGTCCCAAATGTTCCCTCTCGCAACCTATACACTTTGGGATAGTCAAAGATCTACCAAAGTTGTCTATTAGAGTAGTAGACCTCTTGAATTTGTTGCACAATTTTTTGACCTGTAGCTGCTTCCCTTTACCTTTGCCTCCAAACTTCTTGTCCCTCCAGGAAGTGGAACCACAGTTTCCCTTAGCCTCAGATTCTTTGACTTTCTTTGCCTCGTGATTCACACGAATCTTCTCGAGATCATTGTCCTGCTGAATGCAAGTATCAAAATCTTTAAAGGTAGATCCAGCTATCCTTTCTATGCGACATACTGAAACATTTTGTATTCCTGCAGCTCGCTCCGCCTTGGCAGCGCACCTCTTGATAAGGTGACTTGGCTTGCCACATCTGAAACATACTTTTTGTCCTTGCCAGTGAGTACCCGTATGAGTCTTTCCACACGGGATGCACTTAAGCAGTGAGGACTCATTCCCAACTAACATCTCTCTAACTCCACTCCCACACTGTTGTGGGGATAGAGGTGGTGGTAGTGGAGGATGTTGGCCGTCATGACAGCCAATCCTCATCTCCTCCAATACGACCCGTACTATGGTCATATACGCTAGTCGATTTGCCTCTAATACATCTTCAATGGCTTTCCGGTTTGTCTCTCTAATGACATCCATCATAGCCTGGTTGGCCAATCTAGCGGCCTCCTGATCGGCTAGTCTAGCCGCCTGCATCTCAGCTAATGCAGTCAGGACATGATCAGGTTAATCCTTGTTCGTCTCTCAGTTTATCCTAGGCATTACCATAACTCTGCACAAGTTACACAACGAATGAGTTGATCAGGCCCACGCAATGTGTTCACACATGCATCATCAGAGCAAAACCCAGAAGAGAAAACACACAAGACAGACTCATAGCAAAACATCCTAAGTTATTGCAATACATACAGGCTTTTTCCTAGAAAGTGCTCTGATACCGTAAAATGTAATACCACGTGTATACCCGGTTTGTTATCATATCGTATTAAGCAGCGCTTAATTAAAAATGTAGAATAACTTTTTGCTTTTCAATTATGACGTTATTAATCATTACCAAGTTGATTACTTAATCACTTTCAAAATATTGCCTGTATGTAATTGCAAATAGACAGCTAACTACACTGAATAACCTCATTACATAAATAAGTGAGTATCCAAGTCACGGAACTACAACACGTAGTCCGGACCATAATCCTAATACAATTATACAACTCGAATCTAAAATAAAACATAGTCAATCAATGTGGCATGGACAACCCCCATGATCACCCAATAAGGCAACAAAGCCCAACAGAGCCTCAACAACAAGAACAGAATCATAAATATAAAACATGTCAGCATCCAAGCATAACAATATAAACAACAAGCATATCACATCAGCTTTGACCCCCTGCCGCCCGAGGTCTCAACCCCCGAGTTACCTGAACATGAAAATATGCCCCAAACGTGGGGTGAGATCTCTAAAAAGAAATCTCAGTAAGACAAGGGGTCTTCAAGGACTCCTCCGCCCCAAGCTCACTTACAAGTATAATATAAGTTCAAAAACAGTAATTTCAATGCATGTTCAAGTTTAAGAATTTATATCATGACAATATAATCTCTTGCTCGACGAGCTAAATACTACAACTCATTAATCATGTGATGTATGCAAGTTCGGTTCGACTGGTCAGGGAACAGGGTAGGGCTTATACACGTCTGTTACCTACCAACATGAGGGATGCTGCCTCATGACTTGCACACCAGGGTTGCTGCCTGATCGTACAAGTACTAACATCACGTCCATACATTACATCAACAAGTATATTACACACCAGGGTTGCTGCCTGATCGTGTAAATATCCAAGATCGTATCCATACAGTACATCAACAGGTATATCCACATGTTTCAGGCATATATCAATGCATATATCATTTTCATAAAAGCATACCGTGCATATAAACCACCCTCCCATAGAGGTCGGTGGAACAAGCAACAGATTAATCCAATGACACGAAAGCTTACCTCTTAAGCAATCAATCCAAACCAAGTCCACACAAGCTCAAGGCCCACACATAGCACAATCACAATCTGTTTGTACAATAAATACTCATTAATATTCATTGTCTAAGGTTCCATTAATTGATTAGGCTTTCCAACTTGTTTTAGGTGATTTCATGCAATTTCTGCAAGAGGTATTCAAATACTCCTCGGTGAGTGATGTGCCTCTGGAAAGTGTGGTTTTTCTGTGTTAAAATTGATAAGAATTGAGTCATAAGAGAGCAATTTAAATAAATATTTGTTATTTATATTGATTCTTTCTATGTCAATAATATTCACCTTTTGGTTGTGTTTTTACAGGAAAAAGAGGAGTGAAAATTACAAATTATAAAAGCCTCTTAATGCAACTCCACAAACTCCACACGGATGTATCACAGTACAAATGCCAGCAGAATGACGCAGACTGGCGCCACACTGGCGCACACCCGCGCCAGTTTCCGGATTTCACAGTGGTACCTTGCAAGTGGCGCCAATCGGCGCCAGTTTCGTGAAGAAATAAAAAGTGGCGCCACTTAGCACCAAACTCATGCTAAGTGGCGCCAAACTCAAGCAAAATGGCACCATGTTCCATGTCATCTAGCGCCAAGGTCATGAAGAAAGCAATGTCACAGTAACTTGGCGCCTAGTGGCACCAAAGTGGCGCTAACTGGCGCCGGTTTGCGGGAAAGAAACACCGTGTTGTCCGAAGGATATTTTTGGAAGAATAAAGGAGACTTATAAATAGGATCCTCAAGATAGAATTAGGTATTCAGACCTATTCTACTGAGAGAGACGACGGTGGTGCTCTGAGAGGATTCTGCAGATCAAGTTCTTCTTTTCCTTTCTCTTTAATTTTATGCTGTTATTGAATCTTGAATTTTTAGCCATGATTATGTTTGGCTAGTTTACTTTTTATTGTAGTTAGGGTCACAAACCCTATGTGAACCCTTGTTACGTGGATTGATTTATAACTGCTCGTTTATATAATTATCTTTATCTCTACCCTGTTCGTATTTTATATTTTCTTTATTAGAATTGATCACTCTAATAGTTGATAATAGTCTGAGCGTTAGAACCCTAGATAGGAATATTGGGGTTTTCATCCTGAAGGAGATAGAATAACGGTTCGTATGCATGCTAGGAATATATGTGTATTGAATTGCGGATGCCTAAATTATTGAGTTCATCGCATAATTTTCATGAGGGGTTGCTAAGGGATTAGGATTCCAATTGAGAATAAAGGGTTAAATTGCCAAGGGATTGGGATTTAACTAATTATTTTAGATAATAATTTATCCGAGTAATTTTATAAATGAATATTGTAAATCAATCCAAAGTAAGAAGTGGAGATCATAAGGTAAGTGCGCTCTAGCTACAATGCTTTTCTCATATTTTCACAAACCAATTCTTATTTTTATTGTCTATTTCTCATAAGCAAAAATTACAAAAACAAGTCTTTATTTTCAATTCTCAATTTCACAAAATTCGACAATATTTGTCACAACCTTTGAACCCTTCCATTCTTAAAAGGAACAATTAATTGATGTTCGACCCAATTCCTGTGGAGACGATACTTTACTTACTATCTATATTACTTGTGCGATCGG